CACAAAAATTGTGTGGTGAAATTAAATACGATAATCCAAAAACATTCAAGCTCCAGACTCTGGTCTATATATTCTCGCATGCTATATGTTGATTGAACATATTATGTACACCTAATTAGAAGATCATCTGATAGGCTTAGAAAAGTCAGAACACCATAATGTTTTGAAGAATCCCACAAGAAAGGAAGCATCGACCCTTCAAAAGCATCCACGAAGAGAGACACACTTTCTTGGATGATGGTGATATTCTTTGATGAATCCCAAAACATTGATGAGTGCTCAGCTATAAAAAAAATGTAAGACTAGCTAGAACAAACAACTCCTTTGCAAGCTATATATCAGTACATGAAGTCATTGTTGGTTCTCACAAACAGAAAGAACGCAATAAGTGCCACAGCTTAGATGTGTTTTGTCTCTGAAGTAGAGGTTAATTTCTGCTAGCTAGCCTTATAGCTGCACAACTATTGTACCATATCATTAGATATACACGCCTTGTTTTTACTTGTTCTTGTTCTTAACACAACTGTATTCTAACGGCAATGGGAGCTATCTTTCTTGGACGGTACATTAGTTTAAGGAAGCTAAAGTCAAATTTGTTAGTGCTACAAAATTACCATCTCAAAAGCAAACAAATAATGCCACCCGAATGGCAGCCTAATAAGCCCAAGGGAGAAGCATCCAAACCCAAGATATGATGAAGCTGTCCCTCACGTGTGATGTCCACCTTTGTAGCATGCAATTGTACAATTGGGCTGACGGCCGGGTGGGCCCCACCTGAAAGAGATTTGCATTGTTTGTCCTCTACTTAATTATATAACACAGATAAAATAAAAAAATAAGTAAAAGAATTCCCCATGCATTGTTGAATTTTTGTACAATAATGTAGCTCACCTTTGTACGTATAGAGAGCTAGAGAGATACGTATACGATACAACTTTTTTTGTCATCCGCATGGTGTACAAGAGTCCAAAGGAGATATATATGTAATATTCCATGTTGCTATATGCTATTGCTATAGAAAGGGGACAGAGTGGAAGAACACAAGAGAATTAAGCTGGTTAGGATGCTTCCCTGGAGAACCCACCTAGGGGGACAGCTCCAAACCACTCTAGGCCTTTGGGAAATCCAAGGCATAGGCGGACGACATTGTCAATGCCCATACATATACGGACGAGCCCTAGGAAAGTTTCTCGAGTCCACACGCAAAGAATATATGTTATGTAAGGAATATAACATCAAAGTATATATTGGTTGTAACACTTCATTATATATACTACGTTATTAGGTGGATTAAGATTAGTTTATCAGTACATATATACCAATGCACCTTTGCGTTATTTTTGCTATTACTTATTACTAATATGACAGTGAGCGCTGGTAGTGATAATTTTTTTTTGCGATTACACAGTACAACTCAGACACTCATAACGTACGCACCATTACCCCTATGAACGCACGCATACAAACACAAACCCAACCCTATGAGCATCTTCGAAGACTGGACCGGCAAATCCATTAGATTGATGAAGTCATCACAGGCACCTCGTCATCGACGAGAACGTCATCTACCACTGAAAACACAACACAGTTAAGGCCCCATTTGGATCCAGCTAGCTAAACTTTAGCCCTGTTACATCGAATGTTTGATACCAATTAGGAATATTAAACATAGTCAAATTACAGAAGTAATTGCACAGATGGAGGCTCATTTGCGAGACAAATCTATTAAGTCTAATTAGTCCATGATTTTATAATGCGGTGATACAGTAAACATATGCTAATGATGGATTAATTAGGCTTAAAGATTCATTTTATGAATTAGCCTCGTCTTCTGTAATTAGTTTTATAATTAGCTCATGTTTAGTCCTTTTTAGCATCCGATCCGATTTGACAAGGGCTAAACTTTAGCCTAAGGATCCAAACACCCTCTAAATCCTAGAATATTCGCTCCCACGGGGAGTCAAACTCAGGACTTGAGGTGCTACTAAGGCTCTTATAACCACTAAGCTAGAGGCTCTTTCGCTGGTAGGGATAATTCAATGAAAGAGTAGTGATGTCAAAAAAAAATCTGTGTATGACGCACTAAGGCCCTGTTTGGTTGAGCTGTGGCTGTGGGAAAAAGCTGCTGTGGGCTGTGAGCTGTGGAAAAGCTGTTGTGGGCTGTGAGCTGTAGAAAAGCTGAAAGCTGTTTGGTTAAACAAGTATAAAATATACATTTTATCTTTATCTCTCTTGAAACAACTATGGAAGAGCTTTTTATTCCACCAATTTTGAAAAGCAGAAAACCAAAAGGCAAAAGCAGGGTCAACCCAGCTTTCAAAAATGAACTACGGAAAAGCAGCTGCTTCTGAAAAAGCACCATCTAAAAGCAGCCCCTTTGGTTGGGCTTTTGGCTTTTGGGGCCAAAAGCCAAAGCCAAAAGCTCAACCAAACAGGGCCTAAATACTACATAGCACTTCAAACACAGAAAACTAAATTAATAGGCTTCACCTAGTTCCTGACTACCTCAGAAGAAAGTAGAACAAGTACTCATGCATATCATCCAAATGATCATAGATGATCACCTTGTATGAAATCATTTACTTTGTATGTTGTTTACATCAAAATTTGAGAAGAAGAACGCGGGAACTCGAAGCTTCCAGGATTGTTTCAATCAAGGAATCGATTAGATGTGAATCGGTATTAGCTGGAATCAACTATTTTATGGATGACGTCAGTAGACGGCGTCAATAGGCTATGCTTGAGTGGCGCCAGGAAGATGTGTCGGACTCTACAAATAAGGAAAATTGGGGTCCAAGTTATTATTAAGTTAGGAAGTTTTCTTTTATTCCAAGAATTGTAATGAGTCGTATTTGAGTAGGATTCATGTTTAGGTTCCGGGTATAAATATTAGACCCTGGTTATTGTAAAAAAGGACGAACATTCAATCAATACAATCTTTTCGGCTTTCGCCATAGCATAAGGAGTAGGAGTTCTGTAGATCTCGACGAGTTCTTCGGCAAACAGAGCTGCATCGACTGATCAACCTCTAGCTTGCTTATGAGTACCTTCACGACTTGTATTATGCTTGTAAAGCTGCATCAGCTCATTGATCTTTTATGAGCCATAATATAACTTAGTTATCGATCTGTATCATAGTTTGTAAGGCTGCATCAGCTGATTGATCTCTTACGAATATAATATAGATCAAATTTATCGATCTTGTGTTAAATAACTTGTTATTTAATACAATATCACCAGTTATCGAATCTGCTAAGATTAGTAAGATTTTTCTTGTTGTTTTTGGTTGATTCACCAATTATCGATCTTGCTATAATTAATGTTTTATTAATTATAACAAAATCACCCGATTGATATAGAGATAGATCGGCATCATATCACCTCAATTGGTCGTCCTTTGATCTGGTCACACTTTAAACCTTATAATTGATGGCTTAATTTCGCTACATTGGTTGTTTGATCTCTATTCCAATCAAACATAGTATGCATCCAAAGACATGTTTCAATCTTGAATAAACTCACTAGTTATTGAGATCTAATCTAATGATACTATCATAGCTGCATCGATCCGGTCGAACCTCACTGATAAGACTTTAGATTAGAAATTATCGATTAGTGGTCTTGTTCATGATCAAGATATGTACTCTGTTTGTTTGCTATGACTGCATCGGCTATTTTAGCGGATTTACTTATATTTTCACGCATATAGCATGTTTTCATGAATTTGTCAGCATATAGATGGTTTTATAAATTCTTTGGCTTTACTTTATTATCATTATCATAGCTGCATCGATCCGATCGAACCTCACTGTTGATGATAATAGATTAGACTCAAAATTGTTTGTAGAATCATTTATACTCGACAGTCGATTTGTTCGCATGTTATATTCTTTTCATCAAATTTATCGGCTCGACGCTTTATATCAATCATGTTTCATTTAGCCGATGATGCTTTCTGATGTTCCATGAGCATCGGTTATTTTGATTCGTATCATTATTATATTAGCCGATAATCCTTGATTTAAATATCTTCATTTCATGGATACGCCGGATATCGACTATTTAGTTGATAGCCTCGTAGAATTGGCTATCTAGCCGTACATTCAGAACTGTCTGGTGCGACACCGACATGTTCCACCTTAAATTACTGATAATATTTTCTCTCTTTATCAATTGCAGGTCAAATTGACTGGCACGTCATTGGGTTTTCAGAATCGGCTGGTTCTGTGTTGAAGCCAAGTAGATCTCTGGTCTCGTTCCACTCAGATCGTCTGGCTTGTTGTGTGTTGATCATGTCGCTACATTTTTGTGTCAACATATGTTCTTCGTGTGTTTTCAGTTAACTGTAACTTAGATATGTGGCACATACTTGCATTGATTCCTTTAGAGAACTCCGATCTTCTCATGTAGTGGCGCTGCATATATAGGAAGTGTGTTGTCTCTCCTCATATTTTTCCGATGATGCCCTAGCAGGGTTTCCTCCCAAGTGAGTCCCTTGTCCCTTCTACCTTGGAACATCTGGTTTCTTGTGAGACCTGCTTTATCGTTTTGTTGGCAGGTGCCTTCGACCAATAGACAATAACCAACAGTAGTACGGTACAAAGAGGATTGGCAGAAACATTACCTCAGCAACCGACCAAAACTCTATTTTGACGTGTTGTGCATACGCCAAGGCAATGCCTCCAAGAAGGTGCCTCCAAGAAGGTCTATTCATGGCACGCTGCCTTCCTCCCTTTATGCCTTCCTCAACACCTGCAACCAAGCTGGACGAATTATAGAGGAGCCAAACACGCTGCAAGCTTCTTCCCATGCACTTTCGCCTTCCCTCACAAACCTGGGTTAAATTCATAGAAATTTGTAGCTTTATCAATGCCAACCTAAGCACTGCTGTTCTCCATTGCTATCCGTCCAACTTACAGAGTGTTCTTGTTATATGCATCCTTACCCTCCTGTGGGTGGGGAGAGGTGATCATTGGTTGATCTCTCTCATGTGTTCAAGCATGGGGACGCTCAACTGCGTCGACACAAGCTCCGGCGCAAAACTACAGCAGCAACAAGCAGCTCCGACATCGCCCACCGCCTCGGTGTCGGAGTCAAACATCGTTGTGCCATCGTCGGCCGATATCGATGCCAATGATGCCCTAGCCAGCCTACAAGCCCTCAGGTTCGACGGAGACATCGACAGTGAGATCCAGTCACCGGACATTGCCATGTGGGAGTCGCTCTTCGCCGAGCAAATGGGCGCCTCGGGGGGTGACTTTCTGATGTTCTCTCCTAGGAGGGACTTCACGGCTACCGGAAGCCCTAGGAGGGACTTCACGGCTACCGGAAGCCCTAGGAGGGACTTCATGGTCTCCTCTCCCAAGAGAGACTACATGGTGTCTTCCCCAAAGAGGGACTACATGATGTCTTCACCGAGGAGGGACTTCATGGTGTCATCCCCCAAGAGGGAGTACATGGTGTCCTCACCTCGGAGAGACTCTTCCCCAAGGCGATCACCCTTCTCGGCCAACCTCTTCAGCACCGGCGGCGTCCACCAGCAGGGCTACGCGCATGGACTAGATCAGGGAAGTGGCGCCGCCTGCGCCCAGCCGCTGTACGGTGGCCTTGCTAACCATGGCAAGGGGAAGTCGCAGAGCCCGCTGCACAAGGTGTACATCAACAACGCCCACAGCAACAGCGGCAAACAGAGCACCGGCCCGTCGTCTCTCTCGTGCTCGTCGTCCTACGGCCATGGTGAGAACCGGTCCCTGCCGTCCATGGAACCCTCCTTCCTCGACGACTACAAGTACCAGGAGGGAGGTTACCTAGGGTACCAGCAGATGCTGGGGAAGCAGGTGGCGGCCGGAATAATGCAGAACGGTGGGAGCTCCGCCACAGTCACCACGGTGGCTCCTCCTTCGTCCTCTCAGCTGCCGACGCTGTCGGAGTGCCTGGCCATGCCGGAGCCGGCCTATGTAGGCGCAGAGGAGGCGGCCGCAGCAGCGGCAGCCGCCGCCGGGCTCCAGATGGGCGTCGGCTTGACGTCTGACTTGTACTACGCAGCACAGTTTGGAGGCGGCGGCGATGGCTTGACGACGTTGCAGCACCAGATGGCCAAATCTGATCAGTGGGCAGCTGCAGCAGACTCATCCCTGCACAGCATGCTGGGTTCAGTCATCCAGGCAGAGGCCGAACAGGTAATTAATTTATATTTATTTACCATCTAACGAACGTTAAATAACCTAAAAAAATGATTTGCAAAACCTTCGTCAAAATTTGACATATTTTTCACGAACAGGTACATGTACCCATATTTTATTAAGACGAAACGAGTTGTTTTATAGCATCGATGAACTCCGGCTGTTCCATGTCCACTGGCAAGACGCTAGCGTGCATGACCAGCCAGGATATGTCGATGAGCTAGAGCAAAAGCCTAGCAGCTACAACAGAAGCAAAGGACTATACGGTCATGGATACAACAAGGCAAAAGCTTTTGGACCGCTTAGCCTACTCGTCGTCCGTCACTCCTCGCTTGGCCTATACGACGTCCGTCCCCGGATCACGACGCCAGCCTCTCCCCAGAAAGTGGACCTTCATGGCTTCCAGCCTTACAGGGGCAGCGGCATGGTGAAAGTCTGCTGAAAATTTGACATATATTTCAAACATAGGCATATTCATTTATTGTTTCGTATTATGTATAGGTTTGTAGCTAGATGAGAGGTAAAGGGCTTTCCTGGATTGGCGCCGGCCAAATGGTCACAGTCCCATGCATGCATGCGTATGCATGCAAACGGTTGCAGCTAGAGGAAAAGATGCATGCTTCCATACGCGTTATTTGTGTGAGGAAGCAAGGTAGTTCGGTCACCGGCTACGATTGCTGTTTTGTCGTACTCCTAGGCGCGTTAACCAGCTTACCAAAGTAAAAGTGGCCTTGATGATGCTTCTAGTTGGCATCTGCGTAGAGACCTCTGCGAGGATTTGGAATGGAGCCACAGAGATATAACTAGATGCTTAGGATATTTTGAGATCATCGATACTATCGGAACGTGCGTACATGACAATAGTGCAGTCCAAAAACCACCGTGTTGCTTCTCATGAACACGTGTCGTTTACGCACGCGAATTCCGTTGGACTTTATTACGATCAGGAGTACAGTTTTAGAGTTATAATATATTTTGATATCAAATTATTTTTGGCCATCGAAATAGTTATTTTCTGATCAATTTAGAGTTCCTGTGATGTTCCTGCTTATTAGGGTGTTTATTCTATTTTTTCTCGCTAATATTTTGTTTGATGATCTGAAGCGATTGCTTGGTCTAGGCCCTCTTTGGTAGCGCTCCTAGGACCGCTCTGATAGCAGCTCCACGGCTTCACCAACCAAAAGGGATAGCAAGCGACATCTTCGATTCGCTTCTTCCACAAATCATGCTCTCTAGAGCAGAAATCCTCCAATGGAGCCCAAAACAGTATCTTCGCCCTGCTCCTTCATCCAAGCACGTGGGCTCTCCTGAACTGCCCTTCATCCAGTGTGTGAGGAGCAGCAGGCGGGGTAGAGGCACTGAGGTGGGCATGGTGTGGGGGTGGAGTCACAGCAGACTAGAGCGTCAAGGTGGAGTCACAGTCTTGATGGGTCATGGTGCACCGAAGCCTCTAGGCTAAGTGTCGTGTTGCACGAGAGGAGACGGAGTCTAACAAGATGAGTGGAGAGGAGAAATAGTGGGGGCAGGGTCGGAGAGGGGTAGGTGTGGAGGCGGTGCATTTGGGAGAAACTGGAGGCATGCGGATGAAGCAGGGGATATAAGGGAAACATAGATACAGAAACAGGAAGATGAAAGAAAAGAAAAAAACACAAGGGTCTTAAGGACATTTCACCATTTTGTATACCAAGAAGTTTTACCAAACCTTTTTCACCTGTAGAGCTGCTCCACCAGACCAAGCTAAAAGAAATTGCTTCATTAGTGAATCATAGTTGTACTAAACACGTCCTTAATAATCTTGCGCATGTCTTTTATCTGGGGTTGCATCATTTGAGACTTTCTGAAGTTCCGAGCAGTGATGATATTATTGCTACATGTGCAAGGGTTTATCTTGGTTGTGGGGTCTTTCATCACCCAATATAATGGTCAAAACTTCGATTGGCTTTTGGTACAACATCTCTGATTCATATTAAGTTGGGCCTAGTTGGAGCAACTATACACAATAACACAATACTGCTCCTATATGTGAAATCAGTCCTTAGAAAACAAAAACCGCACAAAAATCCCCAAAAATTAATCTAATTAACAGTGCTAACTCCATTCACTGATGATGCACGCAGGAACAGGACAGCGGTCTTCAACTGGTGCATCTGCTCCTGGCGTGCGCCGACTTCGTCTCCAAGGGGGACCAGCTATCGGCGCTGCGCCACTTGCACCTCCTCCGCCGCGTGGCCTCCCCGCTGGGCGACTCAATGCAGCGCGTCGCCTCCTACTTTGCCGACGCCCTCGCCGCCCGCCTCACCCTCTCCTCCAACCCGTCCTCCTCCTCCTCCTCCTCGGGCGGTGGCCACGCCACGCCGCGCGGCGGCGCCGGCGCGGGCGTCGCGCCCTACACGTTCCCTCCGTCGCCGGACACGCTCAAGATCTACCAGATCCTGTACCAGGCCTGCCCCTACATCAAGTTCGCGCACTTCACCGCTAACCAGGCCATCTTCGAGGCCTTCCACGGCGAGGACCGCGTGCACGTCGTCGACCTCGACATCCTGCAGGGCTACCAGTGGCCGGCCTTCCTGCAGGCGCTGGCCGCGCGCCCCGGCGGCCCACCGACCCTGCGGCTCACCGGCGTCGGGCACCCTTCGGCCGCCGTCAGGGAGACCGGGCGCCACCTCGCCTCCCTCGCCGCGTCCCTGCGCGTGCCGTTCGAGTTCCACGCCGCCGTCGCCGACCGTCTCGAGCGCCTGCGCCCCGGCGCGCTCCAGCGCCGCGTCGGCGAGGCGCTCGCGGTCAACGCTGTCAACAGGCTGCACCGCGTTCCTGGCGTGCATCTCGGCCCGCTGCTCTCCATGATCCGCGACCAGGCGCCTAAGATCATGACGCTCGTCGAGCAGGAGGCTGGCCACAACGGCCCCTACTTCCTGGGCAGGTAAGTCATCGGAAATCGTTTGATCTTGCCAAGGTAGCCTTGTTGGCAGTGAAGATGGTCAACTCAAAAATCGTTTGATTTCGTATCAATAATTCATCACTAATTACCTTTGATGAGGAAGTACTAATCGTGTTGCACTCTCGTGGTTGATTGTATGTATGAAGGTTTTTGGAGGCGCTGCACTACTACTCGGCGATCTTCGACTCGCTGGACGCGACGTTCCCGGCGGACTCGGCGCCGCGGATGAAGGTGGAGCAGTGCCTGCTGGCTCCGGAGATCCGGAACGTGGTGGCATGCGAGGGCGCCGAGCGGGTGGCGCGGCACGAGCGGCTGGACCGGTGGAGGCGCCTCATGGAAGGCCGCGGCTTCGAGCCTGTGCCGCTCAGCCCGGCCGCCGTTGGCCAGAGCCAGGTCCTGCTCGGCCTCTACGGCGCCGGTGACGGGTACCGGCTCACCGAGGACAAGGGCTGCCTCCTCCTCGGCTGGCAGGATCGCGCCATCATCGCCGCCTCCGCGTGGCGGTGCTGATGATCGTCATTCGTCAGTGCTCGTCGATCGTCATCGGCGCGGCCTCAGCGGAGAGTTGACAACTGTTAGGTTTGTCTGTTGCATGGATGCATGTGTGGTTATATTTGGATCCTTAATTAGCTTCCTGTATGATTGTGAGATTTATCATGTGAAAAATACAAGATAAAGGTATACTCTGATGGAGAGGAGCAACATATTAAAGATATATGTTGTTAAGCCACTGATGATGAAATTAAGTTTGATTTACTTGTTTTCAGATATATGTATGCCTAATACAAAAGGCAAGGGAGAGAAGCGATGGTGTATTGAACTTCACTAGTTCATCAACCTGTGGTCTAATATGGGTTAGATCATTAGAAAATAGAAACATTAGATGTTCGTGTGTAATACCTATAAGTAATTAAAATTACTTGTCTCTTTGTTCATTTTCTACCGGTTGTGTAAAATTTATTGGTTATGATTTTCAGATTTTTCTACAGATTTTTTTAACCTCGGATTAAGTTAAAACTCTTGTGCTTATTGTCTTTTTTGTTCAGATTCTCCATTTGTATTTTACTAAAAACTACGGATTTTGGATTGAGAATTATTTATTACTATATATGATGGCATAAAGAATTATGTAATCCTACACCATAGAGCTCAAGATTGGTAGTAGACTTTGAGGTGAGAGGCAGCAGGGGGCAATAATGATGCTAACTTCAAGAGAATATTAATATTCAAGCCTAATAATCACTATTTACTCCAAAGAAATCAAAATGATGAACAAGGTTATAGCCAACTTTGTCTACACTAACATCCTCCACCATTCAAGATGTTACTTTTTTCATATCAAACAATCATGAGAAAGTGCTTAAAAGTATCAATACAAATATTTATATGTCATAATGTTTTAGTTAAATGTATAAATTTATCCATAGTACAATTCCATAAATCATTGTCATGAATTTTAATATAATATAAATTATTTGTTAGTGTAATTGGTATATGAGTTGTTAAGGAACATTTCCACTCACCACGTTTCAAATTGTACATCGATTCAATTTTGTTCTAAGCTGAAATTTTCTAGTTTTGACCAAGTGCATAAAAAAACACACAAATATCTACATCACCAGATTAGATTCATTACGCACACCATGAAATATGTTTTGATACTGCATTTATTTGATATTATTGATATTAATATGTTTTTCAATAAAATTGGTCAAAGCAAATCATGTTTGACTTAGGAAAAAACAAAAAAAACCTTAAAGTTTGAAACAGAGGAAGTAAAACATAAAATATATATTTATTGCTCATGCATACATGTATACTTGACCAACATAATGGACAACATGTATGTTTACTTTATGTTGTATTTTGTATATTAAGAGTATTATAGTAATAGAAGAGTATATTTTAGAAATGTCAATAGGTGTAATTTATGGTTATTTATATGCTTTAAACAATAGAAGATACTTGTAATTTAGATGTAGATTTGATGTGATATTTTACTTTGTTTAATAATGGCATAAATAATAATCTATAATTATGGGATTACAAATTATCAGTGTTTGACGTGGTTTTTTGCTTTATTTCATACCATTGATGAGCAAAATTTAGTGTTGTTCACTAGGTCTTAATAGGGTAGTACACAAAACACATAGGTTTGTACTAGTTCGGGCACGAACCCTACGATTCAGTGGATGGGTGGTTCTCATATTGTTGTGTCTTGAATGCTTGAACAAAGTCCGCAATGAAGACGAAGGTGTGCAAAACCGCTTGACTTGAATGAATGATGGTCCATGGAAACGAACGCCATCCATCACGCTTGTCAACCAAGGGGGAGAGGTTCCATAGACTTGCTCTCCTAGTTACTGGTGCACACCGATGATCGGGATAGATTAGTCTGATGATAGTACAATGGAGAGAATGAAAAAAATACATGACGGTGTAATAAAGAAATTATACAAAAAATTTAACCGATAACCTTATGGATTTTCAAAGCTAGGGGCTTTCATATATAATAATAGTTTTGGTACACCTTTTTTCTATAAGGGGTTTGTACTTATATACAGGGAGGAGCACCTCCATCTCGATATCATCTAGCGGTATCATACTAATTGATGTTACACCCTCCATCTTTACTCATGGGTTTAAACATTAAAGTCCATTAAAAAGATAGGCAAATGGGCATGTAACATTTATTATAACTTGTGCATATGGGCTTAGTGTCATAGGATTTTGCGTCTGACTAGTGATCAACATTTCAAGTATATGGAATTAGATGGGTAGCACACAAGAACAAGGATTTATACTAGTTCGGGTATGTGATATGATACATCTAGTGAATAACAGCTTCTCTATGTGTCATGTGCTAGGAGCGGGGGTGGTGATAATTATTGGCTGTATGGTTTTCAATCGGATTGTCGATCGGGGGTGTACCTCTCCGTATATAGTTTGGAAGTATGGTATACAATGGAAAACCCTTATCGGACCTAGTTGTTTCCTAGTTTAAGGAATATGGATTGGATCTAGTTGGGTCTTTAAAGATTAATTGACTTTGAAGGTTTTGCGATGCCTAAGAGTGGAAGGTGAATTAGTCAACTAAAAATCTATTTCTAAAACTATGGCCTCTAATCTTCACCTAGTCAAAACCTATGCAATATATAAATCATCTAGATGTACAGTTAAGCTTTTGCTAGGTGTGTTATTATCTCTACCCGCAAAAGGGCTATGCAACCTAGGTTCCAATCCTACCTCTAGCCTATCAAACTAAGCTAGGAATATAAAGCACACCTGCAAAAGGGTTATGCAACCTAGGTTCCAATCCTATCTCTAGCCTGTCAAACTAAGCTAGGAATATAAAGCACATAACCTAAGTACATAATATAATTGCGGAAGCTAAAGAGTGGTAGAGAGAGATGCAAACTCCCGTCGATGACCCCAATATTTTTACTGAGGTATTGAGAAGCTCCTCGCTTCCTCCTAGTCCTCGTTGGAGCCCCTCACAAGGAAGCCCTCGCAAGGGCCAAGCTCCCGGTTAGCTAACTTCATGGATAGTCCCCGAGACTTCTCCATGTGCAAGTGGGTCTCCGAGATGGTCTTCCTAGACTGCTCCCCGTCGTCTTCACTATTGAGCTTTCGGAAGAAACACTGCGGGCCCATTCCCTCCAGTACACCAGTGGTGGCCACACCGCAAACATAGTTGCGGTCTCGCAAGACTACATGCCCCTAATACTGATAGCAAGGGTTATGCAAACCTCACTAAACACTAGGCCCAAACATAGAGTAAGCACTTTAGCGGTGGTCTAACTAGCCTAAGCACTTCGTAAAGAACCTACACTAATCACCAAGTTTTTCACTAAAAATCTACATGCGTGGAGAGCTCTAAAATGGAATAGCAACTCCCTAGAATAGTTTTCCAACTCCTCCACACCCCAAATGGTCAGTTGGGGATGGTAACTCAAAACTAGCAATTTGTCCTTTGATCTCATGCCCAGAGGGACCCAGTGGTCCAACCGCCATGCATGGTGGTCCAACCGTGAGGAGCTCCAATGGTTACAACGGCCACCTTCAGTTGATGGTCCCACATGTCATCCACTATGGTTGTCCATCTAACCGCTATGCGTGGAGGTTCAACCATTGTGCGTCGCGGTCCAACTAGCATACTGTACTGACCCAACTGTGAGGTTTCCTTCAGCATCCCAAACTCCTTTTTTCCATCTTCTTCTTCATGCTTTAGTATTTTTAGCATAACTTTTAGCTTCGAACTCTGATTTTGATGATCGTGTACTTTATGGAAAGCTAATGGAGAGCTCTATGGCTTGAACTGATATCATATTAATTTGAGCAAATCCAAAATCATGAGACAAGACCAATTCATTCTTCTCTTTGACTTGGCTTCAATTTTATTTGTTTCTCTTCACATCGGGGCTTCTATTTCAAGGTGTATTAGACTTCTAGCATGTCTTGTAGGTCTTCAACATGACTTTCTAATGTCTTGCTTGAGATGTTGATCATCTGGATCATCACTTTGCCTAAGTCCAAGCCCACCTTGTATCCATTTAAACTATATTGTGTATACCAAATGTCGTTAGTCCAAATGGTCATGTTGATCATCAAACACTGAAATCCAAACATAATGAACCATATGGTCCATTTTCTTTACAATCTCCCCCTTTTTGGTGGTTGATGACAACACGTCCAAAGCAAGCAAATAATAGATGCCAATTGAAAATAAACACCATCTACTTGCTTGGATGCAATGCAAGAGCAAGATCATGAGCCGCTAAAAGATTCCAAATGAGGAAAATTTAGAATACTTATCTTGCCCTTGCCATTGTATACATGTCCTCTTATGTGGCATTATGGACCTAAGCCTCCCCATAACTTCGTAATCCACTTCCTTACTTTCTCGGACCAACCCCCCCTTAATCTCAATCCCCCCATTTAATACCAATTGAAAACTTGAAAATATAAATTTGTCAATTTGGTATTTATTAGGGGTTAGGCTTGCTTTTGGTCATTCAAATTCCGCCCTTTTGAAATCAAACACAAAAAATGAAGACATTAGTAGCACAAGGAAGACATTAGTAGCACAAGAAAGCACCCCGACAAGGGGTGGGCCCCACCTATAGGCCGACAGGCCTCCCAGGCCCACCTGTCGGTCCCTACTTTGTATGTTGGTTCTCCATTGCCTTGGAGAGTCCATCTTCGCCATGTATCAAGGTTGGTTCGAATCAAGGGTCAAGATGATGAGTTACCACAGATTCATGGGCCCACGGGCTGTCGGGTGAACCCTATAAAAGCCCCCCCAGACTCCCTCCAGAAAGAGGATCACAATCAAGAGAAGAATAGTCCTCCATATTATGATCTATCTTTCTTAAATAGAAAATAGTGAGATAGAGAGTGAGAGAAGAGTTTGGAGGAAGTACCGGCTTGTTGGTGCTACATCTACGACTTGTACTTTGGCAGATCCAGGCTTCTCCAAATCTGCATCTAAGATACTTCTGGTAATTAAT